AAAAAATGAATTTAGAAGCAGAAAACTATATAAAAATACAACATACCCTGTATGTGGACTGTTATATTGTGAGAGTCTGTGGCATTAATCAGATTAGTAACATTGTTTTTGGCTTGACATGTGTAAGTTCCTTCGTCCCTCTCTCGATTTGAATTTATGATTATTAATTCCATCTGGAATTTAGTTTGTGTCAAAATATTGCTATTGATCAGCCGTTTATTTCTGTGGTACCATGTTATTAATGGTTGAGGAACACCACTTACATAGCACCACAGATGTATCCTATCAGTTTCATTCACAATCAATTGTGTAATGTTAGAATGAACAGAAGATGGAACTATAGAATAAAAACAATATATAATACTGGTGATAATTGAGAAGCAAAATAATTATTCTTTGTACATTAGTCTTGCAATTATCATTAATTTTGATAGAGAATAGAACCTAGATCTATTTGCCAATTCATACATGCAGCTGTTTCTACACATTTTATGTCTAAAGGTAACCATTTTGGTAGACTAAACAAATTGAGAATTTTGTTGTAACTAGTTACTGTTATTGATGAGTTGCTGTGCATGATAATAAATAAAACAATACAATAGCAACTTACACTGTATCTCAATATCAGCAGTACTGTAGGAAGACAGTGTTTGTGGGCTTTGTTGAAAGAGTGTTCCTCTATCATAGAGATTATAACTTGCAGGAATGTCTGCCAAGAGCTGAATAAAGAAGTGTGTTTTTACTGTACAGCTCACAACAAATGAGCTTCGTGCTGTAATGGAGATTTTAAAACTGACATTGCTGTCTAGGACAAACAAATACCCTTCCAGACTATTAGTATAAGACTCATTCCATCCCCCTTCAATGTATTTTGATGTCTCCCATTTTGCAGTCATTGTATGAAGACTTTGAGCTGACAAATCAAGAGTTAAGACCTCTCCTGGAGTTTTTGTTGTACTTATGGGATTTTTTGTAATTACAGCAACTAGATTAAAAGAATATTATATAGTAACAGTATCATTTTTTAGTGACAAATAATATTTGCTTTCACTAAATTTGATTAAGTCAACAATTACAACTTTGGTAAATTACTTACATGGACTCTGAACGACAGAAAAACTGTAATCAAAAATGTCATCTTGATTACTGACTGAACTGCAAGCATATCTGTTGAGGTCATTATAAGAAATTGAGTATGTGCTGTGTTTCAAATTGATGGTATAGTATGGCCACAACTCTTTTGTAATGCTAGCAACACCGTAGCTTGTCTTAAGTATATACTTATTGTTTCGTCTCCATTGAATATCATCACATTCTGCACAGATACATGATAAAGTCACTATCTCATCAGCTTCAGACAACTGTAAAATGTGGGCATATGTATGACCTATTAATCAAGCCTAAAAAATTAAACATTATAAAGTGCCTCATTACCAGTGTGAGTGTATAGCTTGTGATATTCAGATACATTGGAGGTAGAGTTGTAACTGATGGCTATTAGTTGCATTGAGAACATATGGCTGAATGGAATTGACCAGTTTACACGTATGATGTCATCACCTTCTTTATTAACGTAGAGGAAAGGATGACTACTAACATAATGATTGTGAGAGATGTTAGCAGTTTCATAGTTCTGATACACTCTAGTACTTGATCCTGATGAAAATAAGGTTTGAAATGCAACAAGTATATTTGGTTGAGGGAAACTTTGTACAACACAACTACCATTCACTAAGTAATATCTCTTTTTATATAAACTTGTATTATTTGAAATCAACATTGGTGTAGCTAAAGACATTATAATATGTTTTTCTCTATAGACCAATTAACTTACAAGTGCTCCTGATGTAAACTGGTTTTGAATAGTTTAGACCAAATGAGGTGTTGACTCTACAGTAGTAATATCCAACTGTTGAGTTATTAATAGGATTCAAAAGAAGAGAACTGTTCCACCACACATATCCTTCATCATCAGAGTTAGGATTGTACACAATATTAGACACTTTACTACCACTGATGATAGTGTAGTCACTGGATCTATTAGATATCTCATCAGTACTATACAACCATGAGACTTCAAATGGAGACTCTCCATAAACAGAACAGTTCACATACACTGTCTTGTAGTCCAAATA